TCTGCAACTCTAGTTTTAACTATAACTCCCATGCTATCACCTGCTACAATCATAAATCAAACCACATTATCCTATAACATCCCAGAAGCTGTCATATACAACAGCAACTTTGAAACAAAGCTTCCTCCCTATAATGGCACCAAACTATACATTGACTCGGCATCCGACTTTGAAATCACGGAAACTTATGACACCACAAAATACATACTGACCTTCCATTTGACTTTGAAGCTACAAATTTTCTCAATTGTGTCTACAAAACCGAAAGTAACTGCCCAATTGACAGTATCAACTCAAAGAATATAAATTCCCAAAACTTTCCTTACCCTTACCTAAAGCATTATACTGTCATCCAAACACTGAAATCATGAATTAATTCCTCACACTAGTACTCCCTCTCTTACCTTCCCTTCAGCATCCTCATCTGTTGCCCATTTGCAGGGTGTTCTTTCCTATTTTAAATATTACACCCAAGCTTATTTTTTTAATTCCATAAGTGTGTAATTCTAGTGTTGAGTTGCAATATTTCTACATAGGCCAGGTGCAGTGGCTCTTGCCTATGATCCCAACACTTTGGGAGGCTGAGGCGGGAGGATTGCTTAAACCCAGAAGTTCAACATCATGAAATCTGTCTCTACAGAAAATTAGCCAGATGTGGTGGTGCACACCTGTGGTGCAGCTACTTGGGAGGCTGAGGTGGGAGAATCACCTGAGCTGGGGAAGTCAAGGTTGCAGTGAACCAGGATAGCGCCACTGCACCCGACCCTGGGAGACAGAGGGAAATACTGTCTCAAAAAAAAAAAAAAAAAAAAAGAAAGAAGAAAGAAATATGTTTACATAGAAAGAATACAAAGTTGCCACACTCTTTCAAGCTTAACCCTGTTTCATGAGTCAATTCGGTATAATATATCCACATTTGTAATGACACTATACACTGAACTTTATCACTTATGACAAAGGTCAATTCAATCTGCCAAGAAGTCTGAACATAGTTTCCTGATACTCCTTCTGAGCAAAACTTTAAAAGATTAGTAAAAACCTATATGGTTTGATCTATTTAGTAGAATTTCAGATACGTTTAATTCAGTGGCTGTTTTTCGGGCACCTATTAAACTACTCCATAGAGAAGTGGCTCTACTTCTGGCCTCCAAGCATAAGTCCTAGATTCCTCTGGGGTCATAAGAACTGGTTGACAATCTTAAATACTTTTGTAAATATATATTTATTGTTCTATCACACACAAGCTGAGAACTAAAGAAAATATCAAAACATATAATCTTCCTTGAAATTTAATATCCCAAAACAGTAATCAAATAACAATGGCATCAGGTGAGGTAGAATAAAAAAAATAAGAAAGTCATGAATTCCAAAAGCATCTCAGAGAAAGAAAAGGCTAACTCCAAATGAGGGGAAAAAAAGAAAGACTTCATGAAGGTGGTAGCATAAGAAGGATCTTTAAGGGTGAGTAAAACATTGACAGTCAGGGATGAAAAAGAGGAGTCCAGGCAGAGGAAATAACATGAACGAATGCAGAAAAATAAGATCAAAATACAACATGGCTCTTTTCTGACCTTTTGTGCATACATCCGCTTTGCCTCTACCACATTATACAGTGATACAATACTTGCTGCATTTTCCACAAGAACATAAATAAGGGCTTCATCTTATTCACTTTTGTACCCTAGCACCTTGTACAATACCTTGTCCAGTACAGTGGAGGCTTCTGTTCAATCAAGCTATTACTATAATTAATAATAATCTTGTGTGCTGAATCCTTTTGACATTGTGGTGAGTTACCAAGTGGTGTAAGGAAATATAGAAAATGTTCAGTCTGTTTTATCCTTTCACTGCCAAAAAGATGCTCTTAGACTGAGATTCATAAAGAGTGTCTCAGGTCTGGGTAATCCTAGATCTTCCTACATCCATTGAGTGTGATGGAGTTGGAAAGGGGGTATGTTTCTTGCCTTGAGAAATCCTAGAAAGCTCAGGGATGATACAAATCACTAAGGAATTCCACCAAGACTCCCCTAACCCTGAGATTTTTAGCCTGTTTCTTTATAGTTGGGCTCTCAGGAGATCCATGAAATCCCTGAGGTTATTTCATAATCATTACATTCATGAGCACATACGCATTTTTCTGAGGAGATGATATGTGCATTCAGCTTCTCAAAAGGGTCCATAACCCAAAGAAACTTACAACTAAAGCTAATAAGATTAAGGAATGCCTAGACCTAAAGGGCTAAGAGATGTGTCCTATAGTTCATAAAACACTTTAATGAATTCTGATGTTCTATGTCATTTTGGAAACATAAATTATCTCACTCTTTTTGCTGATGTCTCCTTGTCTTGGAATGATTTGAGAATGTTTTTCCTTTTACAATATGTATTTCTGGACTCTCAACTCCGTAATTACATTATTGCAAGTTATCTGCTTTCAGACTTAAAATTTCTTGTCTAAGAAATTACTCAGTCTTCTTAATTTTGCTTGTTTATTTTGATCTAATCCCACTGACTGCTCAGTTTCCTGGCTAGGGCATGTCTGATTCCCGCTGAGGGTTGGAGTCATGTCTGCAACAAGCAGTTGACTCATTGTGAGGTCCCTAAATCATTGATGCCCAGTCACAAAGAATTATTCAGTTCAAATGAGCTATTGGGTAGAACCACACTCCAGCACTATAACACAGGTCTCCTCACCTAAGCCAAGAACAACAGTGACATGAAATTCAACTCTACCTCCACCCAAAAACTATATATATAGGACGCTCCCAACCCTCTACATTCACTGAAAATAATGCCCAAAGAAAGCAGATGCCCAGTGTCACGGAGTCTCTCTCTTGCAATGACCTGCTTGAATATTTAATGTTTCCCCCAACAAAAACTAAGCTCTTTGAGGGCAGAGTTTTTGTCCCTTCCATTAATTGTTTTATCCCAGAGACTGACACAATGTTGGTGAACAAAGAGTGAATCTATGTTAAATGAGGGCTGGAAAAATGAATTGATTGGATAAAAGAAACAATGAATTTGCCTGTGAAAGCCCATGAGAACATTAATTTGCTTTCCTTCCACATCCTTCAGCACCGTGTTTCATTGCTCCTCTCACTATCAACCGCTTTCACATGCTAGTCTGTCTCATGGATTATACTTATTCTCCAAATCCACCTAAAGCCCAATCTCTTCTCTAAAATTTTCCCTCAACTCAATCTTACTCTGTTTCCCCATATTATATGCCTTTACCATTTATTCTTCAACACTGAATGACCATGTGATGCTTTAAAATATTATAAACACAAAAGACTGAAGAAATATAAGATGGGGCCCTAGGAACTCTCCATCTAGTTCAAGAGAAACAAAAAGTCAGGAAATAATAAAAGAACTATATAAAGTAATATCTGACCAAGTACCAAAATCAGTGATAGAAACAAACAAAAAAAGCTATAGATAGTTAAAATTAGATATCATCTCCAACCCTGTCTTCCACTGCTATCCTCACCCCATCTTGTTCCAGTGACAGAAAACAATGTCACTACTTCAAATCTAGACCTTTGATCGGCCTGGGTGCTCTCCTTGTGTTCTTAATAATTTTTTTTTCTTCAAATCCCAACTCAAGGATGATCTCCTCTTTTAAGCTTTTCCTATCCTTTGTCCCCAACAAAATTCACCACACTCTTTCTTATACCTGTGAATACTCCTATATTTGCACGTACTTGTTGATCTTGTGTTTCTCCTCCTACATAGTGTTCCCCATTCCTAGCAACGTATCAGAGTAACAAACATTGATTATGTAGATAAATCAAACCAGTTAGAGAGAAGCTTTGAAAAAAATGTATCATCTCAGTTAATTTTCCATTAGTAGACACTCTATAGGTTTACGTTTTTGTTTTTTAAAGATCAAATCCCAAATCCTGGTGCAACACAGGCTCATCATTGATATAGTCTCAGAAATTGATAAACAGACCCCTGCCTCCCTCTGTGGCATATCTCAAAAATTCCAGGTGAAGCCCACGGCTTCATGGTAATATGTTAAGTAGCAATTAACTGTTCTTCTTGTAAAAGAAATCTCAGTTGATTCCCTGTGTTTTGTTTAGGTAATAGTATCATTTTCCCTGTTTAATATAAAGCAAGCCATTCACCATTTGGCCATATTTATTGAAACGTAAAATGTACATATCCTTTGATACATTACTTCTAAGAATAACACCTACAAAAATACTCCCACATGTGTGGAAAAAAAGGTTCTATAAGAATGGTGCTTGTGACACCTTTGTAATTACAAAATAAAATGGAAATGGATTAAATGTCCATCAAAAAGAAATGTGATATGATATAATGTTGTGTACCCATTAAATAAAATAAACCTGTATGTATTAACACACAAAGTTGTCCATTATTTGTTAAGGAAACATAAGCTCCAGAGCAATCTACATAATAGACTTCATTTTTTAACTATGCACAGAACCCTATATTTTGATGTTTGATTTATGTGTTCATACTTACATGATAAAACACGTACATCTGAGAAATCATTTGGGAAGAAGAGGGAGGTGAAGAAGCATTTAAATTATTTTATTGTCTGCATCTTTTTTTAATTACATAAGGTATGTCTCCCTGAAACACCTTCTATTCAAATGGTAGACATTGGGTAATATCATGTCTGCAGCTAATAACCCACCTAATGAAGTGTTGGGAAACGAAGAAAACCAAATGATTTAACAGACAGCTAAATCCTGATTGGTCTCTCAGTTTCCAGTCTCCTGGAACTGAGTTTAAATTTCTTCTACAAACACATACATCATTGAAGGGTAAAATTTTTCACCAGAGTAAACTTGAGAAATCAACTGGACCTTAAGTATTATACATTTTGCTTCCTGGACACAAAGGTAACATTAATTGACCATGTTTCAAGTAGAACATTCGTTTTTAAAGTATCATTTTCTCTTAAAAGGAAAAACATACAGTGGAAGAGTAACACTGTTTTGTTGTTGTAGGTAGCAATTTGAAACATGAAGACTATGATTCTACTGTTTTGCCTTCTAGGATCAACTCAGTCATTACCAGTAAGTATGTTATGTTTGTTTTATATGCCAACCAGCTTCAACAGCATCTCTAGTTGCAGACCTACCTCTCTCCTGCCCTCCATCAAAACTGCTCTGTTTTGTGACTCATTCCCTGACAGTGTCCAGTGTTTATTTTCCAAGGCAGAAAATGACAAGCTAATAAGTTGTTGGTACATATTTCAATGTACTTGTATTTTTTAAATGTATCCACTCCATCGTGGTAAAAGGTCAATTATTTTGGCAGAGCAATAGGCTAGAAATTAGGAGACAAATGAATGCCTTAAGTGGATGATTATTTTATTTTCCAAAAAGAAATTTTTTCTTGGCTACTAGTTATTTGCTCATGAACAAAGACTATATTTTCTAATTTGTCTACTTGGAAACACTAAATATCTACATTGTATAAATTCTAAAAAAAGACCACCAAAACATATGATACCAAACGCATATGACTAAAATGATCAAAATTTTTGACTTAGAACATTCATCATAAATAGTATTCACATAGAATAGTAAAAAATAAAAAAGCACTAGAACTCCAACATTTGCTCCATTATTTTGTACACATAGAGAAGAATGGTTTGGATCCCTAGGTGGACTTCTCTTTGACTGTTCAAGATGGTTCAAGACCATTAAGAAAAAAATTACAATATACTTGCTATAAAATAACAGAATTAAAGAAAGCATACTTAGTTGGGCCTCAAGCTTACTCAAAACTTCGGCATCCATTCATACAATCAACAAATATTTATTAAAAACTTTATATATGCCAGACATTGTGCTAGGTGCTGAAGAAACAATAGTGAGAAGGAAAAAAAAGGCATGATCCTTCATGGTGTTCACAAGGATTGTAGACATTAATCAACTTTTTTATTTTTTTAACTTTTTATTTTTACCAGTATCTCTTGCCAATTTTTTATTTTTTACTCAAATGATTTTTAAAGAAATGTTAAATTATAAATAATAACTGTGATGAGTTATGTGAAGGAAATGAACAGGGTAGGATTACACGGGAGAAGGATGAAACAAGATACAGTAGCCAACCTCCTTCTTACTTTATCCCAAATATATATGTGTGTGTGTGTGTGTGTGTGTGTGTGTGTGTGTGTGTCCTCCTTGAAAGAAGTTGTCTGTAAAAGTTTAATTTTCTAAACAAGGTTAAGTATGAAGTTAATTTTTTTCTAGAACAAATGGTTCTTTCACTTTGCCAAATACAATTACCGAAAGATTCTTCCAAATATTTCTTTAGTATATTTAAATTACCACATAATTGGTGAAAACGCAAAATAAGCAAAACTTTCCAGGAGCGCAACTCTCATGTGAAGTGGGCTGGGGTGGAGCAGGCCTGCTGTGCAGGCTACAGCAAATTGTTAATAGACAATGAGAGCAGCTAGAGAGTTAGTGGGGCAGGGCAGCAGGGAGGCGACACTGAAATGTCTATTCTGTATAGAAACAATACCAAATGAAACATCAGGGCACATAGACAAGGTATTTTTTACTATTTGTAAATGAATTTACTGAGTTAGCATAAAGTTATAAAGAGTGAATCCATTTGCAAATGTGGACACTACAACAGCCTGGCAATTATTTTCAGTAGATCAAAAGTTTGAGGAAAAGTACCAGATGGAAAACATAATGTTAGAAAAAACAAATATAAGACAAATCAAAGTCACAGGAAGTGAAGGCCCTAGAAGAAAACAAGATTTTATTCCTTCAAGAAGTACTTGTTGAGTGCTTACTATATGCCAGACATGGATTTATCTTCTTGAGATAGATCACTGAATAAACCAGTGTTGCCACCCTTGTGAAGTCTATATTTTAGCAAGGAAACAAATGATAAATGGTGAGCAGTCTAAATCAGTAGGTCACATGACGGGATAGGAGGTGGTGGGCACTACATAAAAAAGACCCCGGAGCAGGGTGAGATGGAGCAGGCTGGTGGTGCACAGTGGAGAAAGGGCAGGCTGCATATGCAGGACAGCAGTCAGGTTTGGCCTCAATAAAGAAGCAGGTGAGAGAGTGAAGCCCATGTCTAGGGAAAGAACATTCCAGACAGAGGGAACAGGTGGAGGTGAAATTCTGAAGCAGGAATGGACTTTACCTGTCCCAGAAACAGCAAAAAGGCTGGATGGTCAGAGCAGAGTGAGGGAAAGGAAATGAGGTGAGAAAGATCAGAGAGCTACTGGGGGCCCGGATCATGAAGACCCTGTAGACCACTGTGGGGTCTCTGGCTTTTACTCTGAGTGAAATTGACAGTCATTGGCCAGGCACAGTTGCTCACGCCTGTAATCCCAACACTTTGGGAGGCCAAGGTGGGCAAATAACGTGAGGTCAGAAGTTCAAGACCAGCCTGACCAATATGGTGAAACCCCATCTCTATGAAAAATACAAAAATGAGCTGGATGTGGTGGTGTGCACTGGTAATCCCACCTACTTAGAAGGCTGAGGCAGGAGAATCATTTGAACCCAGGAGGTGGAGGTTACAGTGAGCTGAGATCATGTCACTGCACTCCAGCCTGGATGACAGAACAAGACTTCATCTCAAAAAAAAAAAAAAAAAAAAAAAAGCAAAGAAAGAAAAGAAAAAGAATGGTAGTCCTTGCAGGGACTGAGCAGAGGAGCGACGAGATTAGACTATCATTTTCACAGGGTCACTCTGGCTGCTATGCTAACAATAGATTGTGGGAGATGAGAAGACTTATGAAAAATATACATAATCTTAAAGCTGAAAGGGACCTCCTAGAACAGGTAATACCAACCTCTCCTTTTTTTTTTTTTTTTTTTTTTTTTGAGACATAGTCTCGCTCAGTAACCTCCTGCTCCTGGGTTCAAGCGATTCTCCTGCCTCAACCTCCCAAGCAGCTTTTTGTATTTTTAGTAAAGACAGGGTTTCACCATGTTAGCCAGGCTGGTCCTAAACTCCTAACCTCAAGTGATCCTCCGGCATTGGCCTTCCAAAGTGCTGGGATTACAGGTGTGAGTCACGGTGCCCAGCCCCAGCCTCGCCTCATCACTAAGGGGAAACTCCAATGTGAAACCAGAACTGCTCCAGAGTAACCTTAGATGACTCAAGGTCTGCTGCAGAGCCAGAGGGCCACACCCCTGTGCCTTCCAGGATGCCCCCAGGAGCAAAAGCAGATTTGGTCAACCTGCCAAAAGAGAAGCATTTTTATTTGGAGACTAAGAGCACTTACAGAGATCTACCACTGGCTCTGCTGCTCACCATGTCACCTTGGGCAGTTTACCGTAAGCATCAGTTGCCTCATCTATTAGACAAAATAATATAACTAGACCAAATGTGTAGGAGGAATATTTTCATATCTAAAATTCAGTGATTTTTTAATACACTAGTAAAATATCCAGGCCAGAAAGAAAACTGAACTTCTGTTACAAGAGTGATGTGGCAGGCATGGCAAAAGTGGGAAGCTTCATAAAAAGGTAGTAAGAATGACGGCAGCTTACCTCAAGCCCTGAGAAAAAGCAAATGTGCACAGAGCTAACGTACAGATTATATATTCATGTCCTGGCAAAAGATAAAGGCAGGTACAAAAAAAGAAATGGGAGCCAGGAACCACCACAAGATATCCCATGTGCTCAGGTACATCCCAGCCCCTGTGCCCCCACACCATCCCACCCCTCCTGGGCTGGCATTTTTCCACTCTACAATTACATTTTTCCACTCTACAATTACCATGCACATAATGTTTCAGGGAATTAAACTCCTCTAAAATACTCAAAGCCTTAACATAGACATTTTTGCATTGGGGGCAACCTGGATATAAATGGATACAAAATCTTAAACACATTCCTGCCTCATCAAATATGTATTTGTTTTCACAAAAGCAGCTCAAACCTGCTTTGGGACTCCCTCCCACAAAACTGGCTCCGGATCAGGGAACACTACCAAACCAACAGCAGTCAAATCAGGTAAGAGTCCTACAATAGGGAACGTGTACAAACCGGTAAAGAAAACACGTTAAGACTGGTAGGTTTAAAATCAAAATTTACATGAAGACTGTACAAGACTGAACAAGAGAGAGAGGCTTTTCATTTGGGAGTGGGAAAAAGAGCTGATATAATTTGCTGAAAAATGTGCATAGGAAAAGTAAAGCACTCTAATTCTTTTTCCTTTTATCTAAATAATAATTTGGTTTAGCAGTGAAATCTAGTCAACTTTGAAAAGGAATAACTGTGTCTATTTGCAAAGCTTGGTCATCTATGGCCTTGAGGTACTATGGCATTATCATATACAGTATTTGCTAGCAATAGCAGGGAATCAGAGGTGATCTACGAAAAATAACTGCAGATTTCCTCCTGGTTTTCATCGCTGTTGACGTGTTGATGTGTTACTGTTTAATCTGTTTCTTCAACGTGTAAATACTTTTGAAAACTGCGATATCTTTTGGCAACTACGCTCCCTCCCACTTCAACTCTTCCTCTGCCGTGAAGGACCATGGCTTACCTACTTCTACATTTTGTGAAGTAGTGCAATCAGATAACACTAGAGTCTAAAGTCTTCTCCTTAGTCAACAGAACGCTCAAGTCAAGAACTATTCCCCCTCTTAAGGAGACTAAATCTTATACAACTTGGGAACCCTCTTTAAGAAAAAGAATACAAAATTAGATATGTAAAATTAAGTACTGAAATAAATATTTATAATTGGATAAGAAATAAGAGTAAATCACAAATTTTCTGAAGCTGATAAGTACTGTAAGCTTGAAACATAGCTAGGGGACCTCCCGGGGTCACAAACGGGGCAATGCTACTGAAAGGTCCCGAGGCTTCATCTTTATTTACCTTCATGGTAAATCCACCTCTGACAGGAGTGTCAATTTTATGAGGTTATCCATCACTGACAGAGTAAGGGAAGCAGGCAACCTCTTGTCTCACACATCACTTTTAATCCCCTGCAGGTCTTTCCTTCTTTAAGTCTGATACCATTAACACAGATGCTCACACTGGGGCCAGATCTGCATCTGGTAAGTGATCTTTTATATCATTTTAATACCCATTGTGAAATAAATATAATGCCTAATGTTATGGCGGGGGGAGCATGCATATGGATGTGTATATCCACAAATGAAAACACACACATACTTATTCATGTAGATAAGTTGAAAGAGAAGAGAGAAGAGTCCAAGGGAGTTGGACATCATTAAAAGTTTTTCTTAGCAAGAGAGTCTCTAAACAAATGAATCTAATTCTTTCCTTCCCCAGTTTCTCTATCCTCTACTCCTCCTCTCTCAATTCCTCCACCATACCTTCCTTAATGCCCCTACAGCATCCACACATCCACATAAACACTATCACTGCTATTATTACCCCCAATGATAGGAGCAAACTGGAAGAGATAGAAAGATCTTCAGTATCTTCGTATAGAATATCTGTATAGATCTTCAGTCTTCTCACAGAATATCTGTATAATCTGTTTGGGAAGAAAAATAAGTTTCTTTCCTGACTTAAAGTGGACTTTTTTAGTGGTCAAATTTAAATATAGTTCATGTTCCAGACAAAATATGTATTCTGAACCTCATGATTTTCACGCATAACCTAGAGGAGTTAATTTCTTAATTGTAAAACAGCTATCAGAAAATTTTCAGGAACAATTGCTCTTGTAGCCAAAAAGGGAAAGCAAGGATACAAATAAATCAACTAAGTAATTCTCAAACAGAAGAGGTTAAATGCCAAAGAAAAACTTAACAGGGGAAAAGTTAGCAATAGCCCCTGTGGTTGTACTAGCAGACTAAATAAGTCTTTAAATTTCATCTTTCTGTCTAAGTATACATGCAATAGAATACTATGTATTTACCTAGCAAATCCTTCCTTTAAATATATTTTATATTTAGTAAAAACATTTTAGTTTCCTAAATATCCAAACTGAAAAAAAGAAAATACAATGAAAGTCTTCTTCCTTGCCCTACAGTTAAATCCTGCTGCAGGAATGACTCCTGGTATCCAGGCCCACCCATTGACCCTGGGAGTGTTGAATTTACAACAGCAACTGCAACCACATGTAAGTTAAACAGCTGGACTTTACTTTCAACATTAGAGAGCATTTTCTCTCAGGTGAAAGCCTACAGTAGAAACTGAATTTTTTAAAGCTTCTTGAAAATTTTGCCCAGATTATTAGCTGATGAATGTTCTACTGAACATAGAACAGTATTTGACAATCTGGTTCTTAATGAAAATTCATGAAAACTTACCCAGAGAACTGATCATGCTACACCACAACCTCTCTAGAATATAATTTTAATGGAAAACAGGAAACCTTGAAAAGTTGGGAAAGATTGAAAAGTGAAAAATATATGGGAAGAAATTGAGAGATCCCAGGATTTTTTTCTAGCATACTGTTTTCTCTTGAAGACTTTCTGGGTGACCAAGATCATCTCAAAGAAACATTAAGAGGTGGATAAAGTTTATCTTCAGCAAATGTAATTGTCCCATTTTTGTGCCCTTTTTTCCATTCCCCCTTGAAAGCCTCCAAGGACTTTTCAGTATCTACCATTTACCACCTCCCACTATCACTTGCTTTCCAAAAAAAAAAAACCTGAAAATCCTCTTACACTAAGATATAAACTTAAGGCATCACCTGTTTTTGAAGCGCTTGCATTTTAACATTGGACAAATTCCAAATTTTTACCTTCTTGAAACTTTTCTAAATAGTGTAATAGGCTCCAGAGGGGCTGGGTGCAGTGGCCCATGCTGTAATCCCAGCACTTTGGAAGGCCAAGGCAGTAGGATCACTTGAACCCAGGCATTTGAGACCAGCCAAGACAACATAGTGAGACTTATCTCTACAAAAAATAAAATAAAATAAATAGCTGGGCATGGTGGGGCACATCTATAGTCCCAGCTACTCAGGAGGCTGAGGTGGGAGGATCCCTTGAGCAAAGGAGGTCAAGGTTGCAGTGAACAACGACTGTGTCACTGCACTCCATCCTGGGTGACGGAGGGGGATTCTGTCTCAAAAAAAAAGAAAAAGAAAAGAATGCCTCTGGAGGAAAATACAATAATCCTTTTACAACAAGACTAAGTTGTTTGTAGATAACTTATTCTCCACAACATATGACCTCAGCCCCCACTATTCAACATAATGGTCTAATTTTTTGTAGAAGCATTTATTATTGTGTAAGCGATATATGTTAATTATGAAGAATTTAGGAAATGCAAATTTTCTAAAATTTACATACAAGCAAAAACTAAAATAAAATACACTTGGAATCTCATTAGCCATAATCAAACATTGTCAACATTCTAGAGTATGTCCTTCCAGTCTTTTTTCTATACATATATTTTTAAAGAAAATGTTTTTGCTATATTTAATGTTTTGTAACATGCTTTTTTCCACAAATATATTTTGAACAGCTTTCATGTTTTAAAATATTCACTTACAATGTTGTTTTTAATGACCTCTTAGTATTCCATGGTATACTAAATTACTTATTATGAAAATTTGGGGATTTTTCCAAAGTCTTTGCTTCTATAAACAACACTACAGTAAACATCCTTGTGACTAAGTCTATGAGTATTCCAGTGACTATTTCCTTGGACCAACTCTTAGGAATAGAATTTCTGGTGCCAAAGACACAAAAAGTATCTTGATAATAAAAATTTGGATCATAAAAGTGACCCTCTGAAAAAGATTTAAGATGCAAATGAAGAGACTCTCTGTAACACGTGATCACAGTATAATCTACATACTGATTGCCCAGCTTCAGTCTCCATTGTTGCCCTTGAAGGTAGACTTAATACATCTTCATGTTCCCCAGAGAGTATCCTCCTAAGTCAAGGCATTAGTGGAGCCTGGAGATGCTACAAAAGTTTCAGTATAGAGAGTTTCACGTTGTACACTCTCTATGCAATATTATAAATCAATCCCCATTTGCTGTGGGAATTCTTCAATGTCTCTAGGCCATGCTACCAACAAGGGTTCCCATACCTGACCTTCCCCTGGGCAGCTCTAGTCCCTCCTACCCTGCCTTTCCCTGTGCAGAGTGGCTTATTATCTCTGCCACAACCCGGACACCTACTGGTGGCTCTCAGCTCTACACTTACTACTTACATGATGTTGGCCAAGTTACTTAACCACTCTGTGGCTCAATTTGCTCAAAATTTAAAATGGGCATTACAATAGAACCTTCCTCTACAGCTATTGCAAAGATCAAGTAGTAAATATATGGAAAACACTCAAAACAATGCCTACTGCATAGTAAATATGCAATGTGTTAGCTATTACAATTTCAAATAATTTCTCTACCGACAACTAAGAAAAAAGTCTCCTTTATCATTATATTGGTAAACAATTAGATTACCTTTCATTACAGTTTTTACGTAGACATCTATGCTTTCCTCTTTTTATCTTTTTGTTCTTTCCACTCCAACTTCCCATTAAAGAAGAAATTTCCATTTCATCTTCTCTTAAATCCAAAATGTACCAACCACTTTCCCATTGCCAATGTGAAGGCTAGTTGGGTTTTTTGTTCCTGTTCTGTTGCCCTTTTTTCATCAGTAGACAAGCACCTGATTGTGAGTAAGCCTTTTTCATAAATGTATGTAATTTTTCCTTATTGATATTCCATAGTTCCATAATTCCTGCACCAACTGTCTTGGGAAACAATAGTTAAGAGTCTATTTCATAAGACTTTCAAATCTTCTGGTTTGGTTATTATGAAATTAAGAGTCCTATTTTGATGACTTTCCTGACACTTTGAATTTTCTATAGAAATAAGAATAAATTTGTAAAACCTTAGCTTTCTTTGACAAACTTCAGGCCAGTTCTCAGAGTAGCAGAGAGTACTGGAGCATGCCAACACCTCACTCAAATCTTTTTCATCTTTTTATAACTAAATTTATAATATTTAGTTATCAGTGACCCTTGAATTATTTCTTGCCTAGTTCTAAGAGCTATGCCAATGCCAGGGGTTACTGAGCAATATTCCCTATAATTGCCTTATTTTAACAGCAAAATGTCCAGGCAACTATTGCAAGACTAGATATCTATGCCTCAAGAAATCTCACATTTGAAAATACCCATCACATGTTTTAATGTGTCTTCCGAGGTGCCATATGAAAGAAATCTGTAAATTTTAATATAATTGTTACTTGAAATAATTTTCAGTTTGGAGATATCTTGAGACCAATTGTTTTTTTCGTTCATCCAGTTTACTTACTTCTATCTTCTCAATGTGCTACCTTGAACTGGTTTCTAAATCTCTCTGGGACTGATCTTCTTTTTACAAATTGGAAAAGTTCCAAACTCCCATCCAGATCTATGAATTTATATCTATGATTATAGATAATACATTAGTAACAAATATCTGTTTAACAGATACTGTATCCTTTTAAGAAGTTATCAATGGCTGGGCCCAGTGGCTCACACCTGTAATCCCAGAGCTTTGGGAGGCTGAGGCAGGCGGATCACGAGGTCAGGAGTTCAAGACCAGTCTGGCCAACATGGTGAAATGCAGTCTCTAGTAAAAATACAAAAAATTAGCCAGGCATGGTGGCAGGCACCTGTAATCCCAGCTACTCAGGAGGCGGAGGCATCGCTTGAACCCAGGATGCAGAGGTTGCAGTGAGCCGAGACCATACCACTGCACTCCAGCCTGGGCAATAGAGTGAGACTCCACCCAAAAAAAAAAAAAAAAAAGTATCAATATTTATACCATGTTCCAGAACTTTTGAATGAATTTTTCTCTAATTTTTTTAGATGTTACCAATTTTTGTCACACAACTTGGAGCCCAGGTAAAATTATGCTTAATATTGTCTTGATTTTAAATCACCTTGGTGTGAAATATTTATTCTTACCTCAATTCACTAGATAGTTGTGAGGTTTTCAATGTACTTTGCACTGTATGGACACTGATAATCACAAGAGCTTGCTTTCTGCATAAGTTTTCTTCAATGAACATCCACTTAATGATAGAAAAATATATAATTTTTGGATGGAGATGATGTCGTATTACTCAAAGAGTGAATGTTAGCAGTCTCCCATCATATACTGACTTGAGTTTTGTAATATAGACCATAAGGCAGTTTAACATTTTATTGGAAATGCAAAATCTCTATAAGCTTTGAAAATATTTTAAGTTTCCAAGTCATGTTGTACATATATTACAAAAATATAATAAAATGTGTCTAACAGTTTGTGTTTATCTGTTTGCTTTTAGGGCACTATCCTAAGCTCAGAGGAGTTGGTAAAAAAAAAAAAATTTTAATACTATTTCAAATTATTTTCACTTCTATCACAATGTTTTCTGTCTTCATATAGTCTCTCTTGACCATAAATCCTGAATATGGTGTGTACTACAATGAATTGAACATTTTTATAGTTCCTTACATTAGATTATCCTCTCTTTGTTTGGGGATTTTATCATACTTCTCCAGCTATTTTTCTATTAATTTGACTTAGCTTTCATTTCAATTTATTGCTATCAGATTCAGTTCTATCCAGAAAGGCAATACACATTTTTTAACTTCATAAGGATTGCAATCTAGGATTATAAACTGTTGAAATGTATACAAATGTAGAATAATATAAATATTAACTTTTTACAGGAAAGATTAAATTCCTTGACTTGGATTTTTAATTTTTATGGAACAATATATCTTTTTCCAGCATCAGATAGTGATGAACTCTTTCTACACACATAAATAATTGGAGGGCTGTACCTAAATAAAGTTAATATCACCACTGCTAGACACTTCAATGCATTCCTCCATAGGTTCTTTTCTAGAGAAAACAACTTGAATTAACATGATATCTAAACATGACAACGGTACAGAATTTGCGCAATATTTGGAAACAGTTATTCAATCGCTTTTCTATTATAGAAAATGTAGATATTTTCTATATTGTCCCTAAATAATCATCAAGTAATGGGGCTAGTGTCTGTTTTGCCAACACTGATACATGAACATCCATATCCAGCTACTGAGGTTCTTCTATAACCAGGACTTTAGCAGATCCTTTACATATGTTGCCTTCAACCTTCCCCAAAGCACAAAGCAGATATTTTTGACCCAGCTTTACAGATAAAGAAACTGAGGTTAAAAGTTTAAGTAAATTACGCCTCAAAGGCAACAATGACAAGAAAAGAGTGGATCCAGATCCAATGCCATTTTTTAATCTACTACACTAATGGTTTTTCAAACATTTTTAATACAAATCACAACAGCAACTACATTTTTCATGCAGCTTCACACACACACACACACACGTTCATGAAACAGCATTCACCTTTACTATATAGAATGTACTACTAGTCTACTGCCTGTTTTATTATTTAATGATGACTGCCACTCACCTTTTTCAGTTCAAAACTGTGGATATCACAACCCTCAGTTTGAAAACGTCTATACTCTGCTCCTATCTGTCATCTAGCATAAGTCTCATTCTGGTTTCAATATCTCTTAAATGTAACACAGTGTTTCCCAAACTTCATTCCTTGCCCAGCAAATCAGGATGGCATCAAAAGCTGGTTAAAAACGCAGATTGCTAGGTCCTGCTCCAGACCTGCTCGATCAGGATCTCTCTAAAAATAAAAAACTCCAATAGACAGGAATTATCTATCTATCCTCAAGGAACACACAATAGCTGAGTTGCCAGAATAAATGTTTCTGACTGAATATTCCAATGCCTTTGAAAAATACATCAAAAAAAAACTTGAAGGGATGAAAGCCATCAGGATTAATCTACTTGAATCGAAATCGATTATTCCATTAATTTTTAATCTCATATTTTTTTGGGAAAAAAATGTTATGAGCAAAAGAAAGATTACATGTTAGGTTTAATTACAGAGATAAAGCCCATCATAATTGTATGGATTTTTCTGCCTTAATTATACCACCAGATTCAGCTGATAATAATACATTATTGTTCCTTTTCCCAGGACTGGCTTGATTCTGGCTTTCCGTTTCTGAGGGAAATGGAGCATAGCAAAGAGTCCCGGTATTGAATCAGACTAGGCTGGAGCGAGGGAGTATTTACCCTGAGGAATGCCAGGTCTTTGCTGTCTTCTCTGACTTTACTCTCTCCATCTTTCCATTGCTACCCAAACTTGCTCCCCTTAAAAAAGAAAAGGCTTTAAAATGTGTTGCTTTTAACTTTGTTTTCTGTTTGCCTCCCTCATTCCAGCCACAAATCTTCACAAGCCTCATCATCCATTCCTTGTTCCCGGGAGGCATCCTGCCCACCAGTCAGGCAGGGGCTAATCCAGATGTCCAGGACGGAAGCCTTCCAGCAGGACAAGCAGGCGTAAATCCTGCCATCCAGGGAACCCCAGCCGGCCGCCTCCCAACTCCCAGTGGCACAGACGATGATTTTGCAGTGACCACCCCTGCAGGCATCCAAAGGAGCACACATGCCACCGAGGAAACCACCACAGAATAACCAAATGGTAAATTCTCCTAGCTTGGAACATACTTCTTGGCTATAAAAGTCATCTGCAGAATGGAAAAGAGGAGTTCTTTGTCTTGCCTTGACAAATGCAGGTCTTAGTAAGATTAGGAAGCCCCTTTACATACTCACAGTTGACTCCAGCAACGAGGGAGTATTTTTACTCAGCCACCAATCCTCTGGTATTAACACTGAAGGAAGAATGTGTTTGAGTGTTTTTGGTTGTTTTGAGACAGGGTGCGGCTCTGTTGCCCAGGCTGGAGTGCAGTGGTGTGATCTTGGCTCACTGCAACCCCTGTCTCCCAGGTTCAAGCGATTCTCATGCCTCAGCCTCCGAGCAGCTAGGATTACAGATGCACACCACCACACCTGGCTAATTTTTGTATTTTTAGTAGAAACAGGGTTTCACCATGTTGGCCAGGCTGGTCTCGAACTCCTCACCTCAAGTGACCCACTTGCCTCGGCCACCCAAAGTGCTGGGATTATAGGCATGAGCCACCGTGCCTGACCATACTGGCTAATTTTTGTATTATTTGTAAAAACGGGGTTTTGCCATGTTGCCCAGGCTGGTCTAGAACTCCTGGCCTCAAGCAATCTGCCCGCCTCGGCCTCCAAAAGTGCTGGGATTGCAGGCATGAGCCACCATGCCTGGCCTGAAAGATTTTTAATTGTTGGCATAACACATGTTCCATTTTGGGTCAGAACTGAAAATATTTGGAAGCAGACTGTGTTCTTCGCCCCAATACACACACACACACATAGAGGCCTATCACAGACACACTTCAGTTCATCAAGACCCTGTCTCCACTCACTGACGGAGCCTCAGAACCTTCCTACTGTAATACTGCAAGCAGCCACTAGTGATAGCTACCAGAGCAGATAAACCCATAAACCCATCTGCCGTTCTTAGACGGAACTTAAGAAATGTGACAAAAATAAGCTTTTCTTGCACCAACAAGCAAAGTTAATTGTTTAACATGTGAAAATGTCTAGAACCAAATATCCTTAGAGATAACTAAAGAATGATTTGATATGGATGCTCCTAATTCTGGAAAAGAAACTTTGATCTCAAGTAAAAAATATTTAAGTTCAATATACTTTTTACCTACATTTAAAAGGTGTTTTATTTTCTTCCAGGAATTCAGTAAGCTGTTTCAAATTTTTTCAACTAAGCTGCCTTGAATTTGGTGATACTTTGATGTGAATCTTTATCAATGATTATATTATGGAATAGATTGAGACATGCTGAGTAGTCTTAGAAGAAATTAATTCTTAATTTACCTGAAAATATTCTTGAAATTTCAGAAAATATATTCTATGTAGAGAATCCCAACTTTTTAATACAATAATTAAATGGATAAATTTGTCTTTGAAATATAACATTATGCTGCCTGGACGATATGCATATTAAAACATATTTGGAAAACTGACTCTTTTTCTTCTTTGGAGATAGAAGAAAGTTGGCCCTTACAGAAACTACATTTCCTCAGGACACTAACATGATACTCCAGGGTCTAGAACTTTCTTTGGAAGTAGGAAGCACAGCAGTCAAGAAAAGGACACCCAGCAATGTGAAGACAAATTCTGGTCTCTTCACAGCTACTTCATCATTCGCTTTCTTATAAAAGTCACAAATTTAATTTTTAATAAGCAGAGTACTTTTCAACATCTAAAACATACAGTACAAAAAAAGACTTATAAATCATATAATTCTGCCTATCCTCAAGTGTTTATATTCAGAACTCATGATAATGGCACTTAATGTTTAATTTTGGTATGCCTGAGTGCGAAAAATGACTGAAAAAAGTAATCATAATCACTAAAACAAACCAAGGTGATACTCTTGCTCCATTCACCTAAAAGGTAGAAATTAACCTGATTTAAACTTATAACAGACCATTGCAGTTCATCTATAGTGAGGGAGATTAATACAAACTACAGTAGAGCCCCCAAAAAGGAAAGGTATGGATAGGGTTAATAACATTTCTCACTATATACGGCTCAACTCCATCAGTACGCAACAAATGTAAATATGCACCATGAAAGATATTCCATGTTTAGTGTGTCAGGTGGTTATAGATTTGCTAGTGGTTAATGATTTATTAGCCACCTTGTTTCAGATATGCAGAAGCTGAATAACTTACTTATAGACTGTCAAGGTCTATGACCAAATGAGAGTAAATTAGTATTCATACTTCCAAAAATATTTTGCCACTTGTGATAATAATTAAAAGTGCTATTAAAGGACTTCCTGGATAACCATCTATCAAAAAAATATTCTTTCAGTTACTCAGGGGGCTAAAGCAGGAAGATCTCTTGAGGCCAGGAGTCTAAAACTAGCTTGGACACAATAGGAAGACCATATGTCTAAAAAACTTTGAGAAGTTCTCTGGTATGTACCTGTAGTCCCAGCCACTTGAGAGCCTGAGGCAAGAGGATCATTTGAGCCCATGAGTTCAAGGCAGCAAAGAGCTATGATCACACCACTACACTCCAGCCTGGGCAACAGAGCAAGACTCTGTCTTTAAAATAACTAATTGATTAATTTTTTAATTTTTTGAGCTTCTTTTTTTTAATCTGTAAAATGGAGGCAAAAATCCCCGTCATGTCCAGGCACAGTGACCCACTACTGTAATCCTAACACTTTGGGATGCCAAGGCAGGTGGATTGCTTGAGCCCAGGAGTTTGAGACCAGCCTGGGAAGCATGGTGAAACCCTGTCTCTACAAAAATAAATAAATACAAAAATTAACTGGGCATGGTGACATGCACCTAGAGTCCCAACTATTCAGGAGACTGAGGTGGGTGGATCATTTGAGCCCAGGAGGTTAAGGCTTCAATGAGCTGAGATTATGCCACCGCACTCCATCATGGGTGACAGAGTGACACCCTCTCTCAGGAAAAAAAAAAAAAAATCCCTGTCATAGATGTCCCACAAAGTTAATATGGTCATCAAAGCAAATACACAAGGTGCTTTACAAATTCCACTATAGAAATCAATTTTGTTTACTTTCAATGTTCTTCAAACCAGTCAAGGCTATCAGTTATTCCAGCGCCATACCTTCCTCCCTAAACTCCAGCATACATATCGACGTGATTGCATTAATATACGAGGTGTGAGATTACCATCTAGACCATCAAAGCCAGGGTGTCTTCCAAATGGGATATGCTACTCCTGGGGGAACCTGAAGACTTTCTAAGGGCTACATGCACATAGGTTGTCTTAAGGGTTTAATTTCCATCCTCAACTCTCACCTATGTACTCTCTTGAGACATATCTGCCTGAGAACATGTTCTTTTCCTCCTCCCCTTTCATAGTCACTCTTTTCCCACCTTCAAAAGACAGATCTATGAGGGAACTTCAAAAAGTTCATGGGAACATGAAATTAAAAGAAGTAGATTATCGGCTGGCTGCAGTGACTCACACCTGTAATCCCAGCACTTTGGAAGGCCAAGGCCAGGAGTTCAAAACCAGCCTGGCCAACATGGTGAAACCCCGTCTCTACTGAAAACACAAAAATTAGCCAGACATGGTGGTGCATGCCTGTAATCCCAGCTACTCCAGAGGCTGAGGCATGAGAATCACTTGAAATCAGGAGGCAGAGGTTGCAGTGAGCTGAGATGGCACCACTGCACTCCAGAGTGAGACTCTGTTTCAAAAATAAATAAATGGTTTATAGAATAAAATTTATAAAGTAAAAAGAAATATATTATTAAAAATATAAGCTTCATTGCTCAACATAAGCTCCATCAAGTTCAAGACCCTGAAAATTACAACTAGCTAGGGGGAATAAGTACTAGTGTTCTATACCACTGTAGAATGACTGTAGTTAACAATAATATATAGTTTCAAGTAACTAAAGTATTGAACATTCCCAACATAAAGAAATGATAAACATTTGAGATGATGGATATGCTAGTTATCCCGATCTGATCTTTATACGTTATGTGTATCAAAACACCACTACGTACCCCATGAACATGCACTATTACTGTCTGTCAACTTTTAAAAATAAAATTAAAATTAACTTTAAAAAAAAAAAAAAGGACACTTCTGGCAGGCACAGTGTCTCATGCCTGTAATCCCAGCACTTTGGGAGGCCAAGTTGGGTGGATTACTTGAAGTCAGGAGTTCGAGATCAGTCTGGCCAACATGGCGAAATCCTGTCTCTACTAAAAATACAAAAATTGGCCAGGCGTGGTAGCACAAGCCTGTAATCCCAGCTCTTCAGGAGGCTGAGGTGACAGGATCATTTGAGCCCAGGAGGTGAAGGTTGCAGTGAGCCAAGATCGTGCCTCTGCCCTCCAGGCAGCCTGGGTGACAGAATGAGACTCAGTCTCAAAAAAAAAAAAAAAAAAAAAAGACACTTTGGTAAGCAATGATGCCAGCCATTTAGTCCATCCTTAAAGAATGGAGGGTCCTGGGAATTTAATCATGTCAATGAAGCATTTTTTACATTAGTAACTGAAGAAAAATAGGTGATCTTAAAGATGTTTTAAGATTAGGAAACAAAAATAAGGCAGAAGGAGCCAAATCAAGACTATAAGGTGAATGCCTAACGATTTCCTATCAAAACTCACAAAATGGCCCATGTTTGATGAGAGGAACGAGCAGGAGCATTGCTGTGGTGAAGGACTCTCCAGTGAGAAGCATTTTTCTGCTAAAGCTGTAGCCAACTTAACTTTCTCAACACGTTCTCATAATAAGCAGATGTTCTCATTCTCTGCCTTCCAGAAAGCCAACAAGCAAAATGCTTTGAGCATCTCAAAAAAACTGTTGCCATTACCTTTGCTCTTGACTGTCCCACTTTTGCTTTGACTGGACCACTTCCACCTCCTGGTAGTCATTGCATTGATTGTGCTTTGTCTTTAGGATCATGCTGGTAAAGCCATGTCCATCTCCTGTTCCAATGCTTCAAAGAAATGCTTCAGGATCCTTCTCCCACTTGTTTATAATTTCCATCGAAAGCTCTGCTCTTGACTGCACTGATCTGG